AGCACATAGGTATCCCTGTGGCCAGTGTGCTTGTGGGATGATGGGGGCATCAAGGATACAATCACTGGAGAGCTAGAAAAGTAAAATATGATGGATGGACACTATAGGGGAAAGCGGAACACTGGGCGTACACATGGCAGAATGATTAGATGAACTCCACGGTGCTCACAAGCAACTGAAGTAAAACTGGATAAACTGAACTACATCAAAATTGAAAACGTCTGGGCGTTAAAGGACACAATCAACAGAGTGAAAGAGCAACACACGGGAGAAGATACTAGTAAATATTCCATCTGAAAAGGATACCTGGATATCATAACATCCAGAGTACAGAAAGAATTCCTACAGTTCAGCAGCAACAACAATTAAAAAGTGGGCAAAGGCTGGTGGCGCAGTGGTTAAGAATCCGCCTGCCAACACTGGGGTCATGGGTTCGAGCCCTGGTCTGGGAAGTTCCCACATGCCGCAGAGCAACTAAGCCCATATGTCATAACTACTGAGCCTGCTCTCTAGAGCCCACGTGCCACAACTACTGAGCCTGTGCACTTAGAGCCCACGCTCCGCAACAAGAGAAACCACCACAATGAGAAGCCTGCGCACCACAACGAAGAGTAGCCCCCGCTGTCCGCAACTAGAGACAGCCCACGCACAGCAACCAAGACCCAACACAGCCAATAAATAAATAAATTAAAAAACAAACAAAAAAACAAAAGAAACAAAAAAAATGGGCAAAGGACTCAAGCAGACATTTCTCCAAAGAGGATACACAAATAGCCAACTGGCACGTTTTTAAAAAACGCTCAACATCGCTGATCACTAGGAAAATGCAAATCAAAAAAAAACACAATAAGATGTCATCTCACACCCATCAGGCGGCTGCTTTAAAACAACACACAAATAGAAAATAACAAGTGTTGGTGAGGATGTGGATAAACTGGAAGCCTTGTGCACTATTGGCGGGAATGTAAAATGATGCAGCCGCTATGGGAAAACAGTATGGTGGTTCCTCAAAAAATTAAAAACAGAACTACCAGTATGGTCCAGCAAAATCATTTCTTAAAATATATATGTATAAAAGAATTGAAAGCAGGATCTCAAAGAGATATTTGTATACCCACGCTCATAGCAGTATTATTCACAATAGCCAAAAGGTAGAAGCAACCCAAATGTCCATTCACAGATGAATAAATAAGCAAAATGTGGTCTATACATACAATGGAATATTATCCAAACTTAATAAAGGAAGGAAATTCTGACACATGCTACAAAATGGATGAACCTCGAGGTCATTATGCTAGCACATAAGACAAAGGCACAAAAGACAAATACTGTATAATTTTACTTATGTGAGATATCAAGAGTAGTCAAACTTACAGAATCAGAAAGGAGGACAGTGGTTGCCAGGAGCTGGGGGAAGGGAGCATGGAGAATTGTTAAATGGATACTGACATATGGGGAGAAACTGACAATAATACAACAGTAGTAGTAACACCCCACTTACGTCAGTGGACAGAAAATCAATGTGGTCTTAAATGACACAATACACCCGTTGGACTTAACAGATATCTACAGGACATTGCAACCAAAAACAGCAGAGTTACACATTCTTTTCAAGTGCACAATGGACATTCTGCAGGATCGATCACATGCTGAGCCACAAAACAAGCCTCAACAAATGTAACAACAATTTGTAACAACACATGTAGGAGGACAGAAATTATATATCAAGCATTTTTTTCCAACCACAATAGTATGAAACTAGAAAACAACTTAGAAAGAAAAATGGGAAAAGAAGGAACACATGGAGACTGAAAAACATGCTACTAAAAAACCAATGGGTCAATTAAGAAATCAAAGAGGAAATCAGAAAATAACTTGATACAAATGAAAATGAAAACACAACACTGCAAAAATCTATGGTATACAGCACAAGCAGAGGGAAGTTTATAGCCATACAGGCGTTCCTCAAGACACAAGAAAAATCTCAAATAAACAACCTAACCTCCCACCCAGAAGAATCAGAAAAAGAAAAACAAAGCCCGCAGTCAGCAGAAGAAAGGAAGATCAGAGAGGAAATAAATGAAAGAGAGATTTAAAAAAAACACACAATAGAAAAGATCAATGAAACCCAGAGCTGGTTTTTTGAAAAGATAAACAAAACTGATAAACCTTTAGCCAGGCTCACCAAGAAGAAAAGAGAGAGGACCCAAATAAACAAAATAAGAAGATATTTGCAAACCATATATACAATAAGGGATTAATATCCAAAATATACAAAGAACTCATACAACTCAATATCAAAAAACAAACAATCCTGGGACTTCCCTGATTGGTGCAGTGGTTAAGAATCTGCCTGCCAACGCAGGTTCGAGCCCTGGTCCAGGAAGATCCCACATGCTGTGGAGCAACTAAGCCCGTGCGCCACAACTACTGAACCTGCACTCTGGAGCCCGCGAGCCACAACTACTGAGCCCGTGTGCCACAACTACTGAAGCCCGAGTGCCTAGAGCCCATGCTCTAAAACAAGAGAAGCCACTGCAATGAGAAGCCCGCGCACGGCAACGAAGAGGAGCCCCCGCTCGCCGAAACTAGAGAAAGCCTGTGCAGAGCAATGAAGACCCAATGCAGCCAAAAATAAATAATAAAAATTTTTTAATTAAAAAAAATCTGATTAATAAAAGGCAGAAGACTTGAATAGACATTTTTCCAAAGACATACAGATGGCCAACAGGCACATGAAAAGATGCTCAACATCACTAATCATCAAGAGAAATGCAGATTAAAACTGCAATGAGATATCACCTCACACAGCTCAGAATGGCCATCAAAAAAGACCACAGATAACAAATGTTGGCAAGGGTGTGGAGAAAAGGGAACCCTCTTGCACTGTTGGTGAAAATGTAAATTGGTGCAGCCACTATGCAGAACAGTATGGAGGTTCCTCAAAATTCTGAAAATAGAACTGCCATATATGATCCAGCAATCCCACTCCTGGGTATATATCCAAAAAATAAGCAAAAGACTAATTCAAAAGATATATGCACCCCAATGTTCAAAGCACTATTCACAATAGCCAAGACATGGAAACAACCTAAATGTCCATCAGCAGAAGAATGGATAAAGAAGATGTGGTACGTATGTACAATGGAATATTACTTGGCTATAAAAAATGAAATAATGCCATTGGCAGCAACATGGATGGACCTGGAGGGTATTATGCTTAATGAAATAAGTGAGACAGAGGAAGACAAATACTGTATGGTACCACTTATATTTCTAAAAAATAAAACAAACTAGTGAATATAATGAAACAAATAGACTCACAGATACAGAGAACAAACTAGGGGTTATCAGTAGGGAGAGAGAAGGGGAAGGGGCAAAATAAAGGTAGGGGATTAAGGGTACAAACTATTGTGTATAAAATAAATAAGCTACCAGGATATATTGTACAGCACAGGGAATATAGCCAATATTTTATAATAACTACAAATGGAGTATAATCTATAAAATTTTTCTCTCACTATACTGTACACCTGAAACTAATATCAAAAATTCACTATACCTAAATTTTAAAGAGTAATAAAAAGAATTTTACTTGTTCCTTTCCATCAAGACTGGAAAGGAGGGGCTTCCCTGGTGGCACAGTGGTTAAGAATCCGCCTGCCAATGCAGGGGAACACAGGTTTGATCCCTGGTCCGGGAAGATCCCACGTGCCGCGGAGCAACTAAGCCCATGCACCACAACTACTGAGCCTGCACTCTAGAGCCCGTGAGCCACAACTGCCGAGCCTGCATGCTGCAACTACTGAAGCCTGCGTGCCTAGAGCCCGTGCTCTGCAACAAGAGAAGCCACCGCAATGAGAAGCCTGCGCACTGCAACGAAGAGTAGCCCCCGCTCACCGCAACTAGAGAAAGCCTGCGCACAGGAACCAAAACCCAATGCAGCCAAAAATAAAATAAATAAAATAAAATTTTTAAAAAACCACAAAAAAGAATTCTTTAAAAAAAAAAAGACTGTAACAATTAAAATTCTCTCTTCACACATGGCACCATCCTATACCTACCCAAAGAATCCACAAGAAAGCTCCTAGAAAGAACAGATCACGTCAGCAAAGTGTCAGGTACAAGATCAACAGAAAGGGACAGAAAGTAGATTAGAGGTTACCCAGGGCTGGGCAGAGGGAAAATGGGAAGTTACTGCTTAATGGGTGGAGTTTCTATTTGGAGAGATAAAAATGTTTTAGAAATGGATGGTGGTGATGGTTGCATAACACTGTGAATGTACTTAAGGGCACTAAATTGTACATTTTAAAACGGTTAAAATGTCAAATTTTACATTACATATATTTTACCACAATTCAAAAAATAGAAAACAGGAACAGATCTATTGGGCTTCCCTGGTGGCGCAGTGGTTGAGAGTCCGCCTGCCGATGCAGGGGACGCAGGTTCCTGCCCCGGTCCGGGAAGATCCCACATGCCGCGGAGCGGCTGGGCCCGTGAGCCATGGCCGCTGAGCCCGCGCGTCCAGAGCCTGTGCTCCGCAACGGGAGAGGCCACAACCGTGAGAGGCCCGCGTACCAGAAAAAAAAAAAAAAAAAACCATCTATTTTACTAAATTTACAAATGGATGTTAGGATACTTAAGGGACTTTAGCTAAGTTGAAAGTGGTGCTGATTGTTTAAGAGTTCCATCTGTTCGTGTGATTTGATAAGACATTAATCAAACTTCACTTGAACAGAGCAGAGTGATTTGCAAGAAACAGCTAGGATTTTGTATTTGCAATTTTAACTCACTTAATATTAATCCTTACAAACCAGTAGGTTTCTATGAACAAAAGCTGCCTTCGTAGATGTAAAAAAAAAAAAAAAATCTCACGTTGAACCTGTAACTTTTATATTTTCAGTAACTTAAATATTTTATAGAATTTTTAAATTTCCCAAAAGATAAAAACAAAAAAAGTCTGAGGGAAAAAAAAATTCAGAGACCAGAATCACATCTTTCTGAACAATAAATAACATAAGAAATTAATGTCCTCATTACCTCCCCAGGTGTGGACGTGGATTTTTTTCCACCACACGTACAGGAAGAGAAGAGCAGACAGGGAGCACTGGGAAGTGGTGTTCGCCCAGGCAGATCCTCTGAAGGAGAAAAAGCTATTGTCACCCGTGAGTACATTCCTCCCAAATAATCAGCTTTCGCTCTCACAGTTATTAGATGAGCCCACAGCTCCTGGACTATCTTCTTTTTAAATACCAGATCCACTTATAATAGACTTGTTTTCTTTTCATCAAGATTGAATTTTTGTGGAAGAACCCAATGCTACTAGAAAAGCAAAAGGACATAAAGACTTATCACCCTTCCTTGTTCTGATAGCCTTAAATAAACCATCAAATAAATTCTTAAACATACTTAGTTCAAAGGCTATAGCAGGGATTTCCCTGGTGATCCAGTGGGTAAGACTCTGCGCTCCCAATGCAGGGGGCCCGGGTTCGATCCCTGGTCGGGGAACTAGATCCCACATGCATGCCACAACTGAGACCCAGCACAGCAAAAGACAGATAGATAGATGATAAATAAATAAATAAGGCTATGGCAGACAGCTACTGTGTTCAACAACTGGTCTAGGGTCATAGTAGTTTTATTTCCCAGGATTATAACAAATTTCTTTTGTCTTGGGAAATAACCTGAGAGCATCGTCAATGGATGACATTTTAGCCCCACAAATACAATGTGCCCTGTCCTGGCACAGAGACCAGGAACTCTGATTCTCTTCTATTTTTTCATTTCACTCTCCTGACCAGTTCTCACATTTTTTCATTTCTTAATCCATCCCTGTGTTTTTCTCCTCTCACCCACCTGTTCCCAAACTGCCCTCTGTATATCTGTTTAAAAAAACCTTCTAAAAAACAGTCTCTGAGCTTCACCTTCAGAGAAGCCTGCTGAGATGCTTATGTCGGTCAGTGTCACCACTTCTCAGACTTGGCCCCTGACTCTTCACTCCCCCACGGCCAAAGCCTCTTTCAGTTTTCTGGAAGGTGTTACAAATGTTTTTTCATTGATTGGTCTGTGTTCTAACTCTGC